CTTGCTCAGGCTGGTCTCGAATTCCTGAGCTCAAACAATCCGCCCGCCTCGGCCTCCCAGAGAGCTAGGATTACAGGCGTGAGCCACCACGCCCGGCCCAGATGAATTGTTTTTTAAAGAGAAGTTGTCTCACTACGTTACCCAGTCTGGAATTTCCAGGCTCAAGTGACCCTTCCGCCTCAGCCTCCCAAGTTGCTGGGACTACAGGAGTGCACCCTACACCTGGCTAATTATTTTTTCTGGAGATGAGGTCTCACTATGTTGCCCAAGCTGGTCTTGAACTTCTGGCCTCAAGCAGTCGTCCCGCCTCAGCCTCCCAAAGTAGCTGCTGGGATTACAGGTGTGAGCCACTGCCCCTGTTGTGCCCCATATGGAGACTTACCAGCCTTCGCGAGAGAACACTCGCTAGCCTCCCGGGGTACCTTCTAGAAACCCCAGCTTGGGCCGCTGGGCTGTGAGCTGTAGGGGCGCCAAGCCCACCAGGGGGCGCTGTGGCGCTCGGACTGGAGACGCCTATGGCGCCCTCGGGCGGATTTGCAATTTGTCCCATGGGGTCCCAATTCCAGCCTCTGGACCTGCCCATTGCCCAGCAGTGGGCACAGGGCAACTAGACCCTGTGTGGCTCAGGAATCAGCACCCTTGGACCAACCGCACTGGCATCACCTGGGCGCTGGTTGGAACTGCGTAATCTCAGGTACCATCCTGTCCCCGTTTAACAAGACCTTTTCACAAGATTCCTAAGCAATTAACATTCACGTTAAGTAGGCGCTGTCCCGATCATAAACACACACATTGATACACAGCATGAGGTATTTCTCTATCCGACATGGTCCAGACTGTGTGGTTCCCAGTTCCGGGCTCTTAGTGGTCTCTCAGCACAAGTTAAGGGATCCCCCCTCACCAACAACTCCCCAGGACTGCGGCCATGCCTGAGCCAGCCCCATCAGCTGCTTCTGGCCCCTTCTTTCCCAGGTCTTGACCCGGAAGAGCAGGCTGATTGACCTATGGCCAGTTCCTGTGAGGCCAAGCGGCCAGAATCCCAGGAAACCTGCTGGAGTGTGGCTCAGAATAATCATTAATTTCAAGTGTTTCACCTCAGGCCAAACCAGTGAACTAAGTAACCTGGGTGGCCTGGCATGGCATGAGAGGCTGGGCCACAGGGTATGAGGCTCAGAAGGGTCCACCACCCTCAGGGAGCTCTGCGGGGAGGAGAGAGGGGACACAGGGCTTGTAGCCAGGAACTGGAAGCAGAGCAGAGGCCTAAACTTTAGGCCATGACTGTCTTTCCTTTCACCTGAGCCCGGGGTTCAGGTGGGTGGTGGGTTTCTTAGGCAGCATCAGACAGACAGCCCCTCAGATGGCCCCTAACTGGGACAAGAACCCAGACAGCAGTCTCCTCTCCTAGACAGGCCCAGGTGGACCCTGCAGCCCAGAGCTGACAATGATTAACTACCTGAGGCCTATCTGCAGGGCCTCAGCTGTGCCAACTTGCTGCCAGCCTGTCTGACCTGGACCTCACCAAAACCCTCAGGCCCCTAGAGCCAGACCTATGAGAACTGGACAAAGATTCAGGGAAGGAAATTCACTATAAATGCCACCAGCTACCTGGGTGCCCCGGAGTGAGCTGAGCAGATAAATACACCTCTTTCCCCTTTCATAACTAAATGTAATTCCACTAACAATTCTCCTCCATCTTCATCATCACCCTGGGTTCATTAATAAAATTAACTACCCTTACTGCCCAGACTGTGTAGCTGGCCCACTAGCTCCAGAACCTTTACCTGTAATTAAAACATGCCTAGCGCAGGTCCTCTCCCCGTTCCCCTTCTACACACCAGCCAAACAAACGGAGTCTATAGGCATGTGCTGCTGACAGCTTGTAAGACCTCCCCGTCTCCCTATCTCACGCCTCCTATTTCTGACTTCAAAACCCACACACAGCTCAAAAACCAGGAAGACGACTTCTCTACTAGGGCCTCTCCTTCAAAGGTAATCTGGCCCTTCCTCCCATGTGTGTCTATGTGCGTATATAAATCCTCACCTGATAATAAGGTGACAATTTTTTTTTAGTTCTATGTCCCAGGCACTGTTTTGTGCTTTCCCAGTGTTAACTTTACCTACATTAACACAATGAATCTTTATTTTTTTTTTTTTTTTTTCACTGTGTTACCCGGGCTAGAGTGCCGTGGCGTCAGCCTAGCTCACAGCAACCTCGAACTCCTGGGCTCAAGCGATCCTTCTGCCTCAGCCTCCCGAGTAGCTGGAACTACAGGCATGCACCACCATGCCCGGCTAATTTTTTCTATATATTTTTAGTTGTCTAATTAATTTCTTTCTAATTTTTAGTAGAGACGGGGTCTCGCTCTTGCTCAGGCTGGTTTCGAACTCCTGAGCTCAAACAATCCGCTGGCCTCGGCCTCCCAGAGAGCTAGGATTACAGGCGTGAGCCACCGCGCCTGGCCAACACAATGAATCTTTAAATATGGTAAGTACTATTATCCCTACTTTTCAGATGGGGAAACTGAGGCACAGAGGTTAACAAACTACATAGTTGATCAATGTCCAGGGAAATTAGGTAAGAACATGACAAATTAAACTATACGCTCTTAGAAACAGGGAGAAATGAGCACCTTGTACTGGTGTGTACTGGTAGATACGCATCCCTCCCACCTCTTTCCACATACCTCACTTTGGCTTCTAATGATTCAAGACGGGCATTTCCAGATAATGTGGCCCCCATCACAAGCCAACTGCTTTGTCTAGTGTTATCATTCCAGCATTGAAGGATAACTGCTAGGGTACCTCCCTGAGCGAGGTGGCACCTTACTAAGGGATCTTTCCTGAGTAGCTGATGCGCTGGCATTAGTACTGTGCCATCCCACTCCACCATCCTTACATCAACAGTGGCTAACAGTTCCCAGGTCCCTACTAACATGCTGAACACAATCCAACATCTTTTAACGCCCACCCCATCCTGAGGCAGGTCCTATTATCCACCTGCCTTCAATAGCCTCAATCGAATTAATTAAGTCACCCAGCAAAGTGGCAGTGCCAAGTCTCAGGCCCAGGCAATCCAGGGCACGTGCCTATAACTGCTGTGCCTTGAGAACATTAAACAGGAATTATACAAGTTAGGAACAAGGCATCACCCATCCCAGGGATGAGGGGAGCTGCAAGGCTGAGAGACATGATATACTGGCTGAGTGTTTACCTTCACAGGAGGTGGCTGCCTAACCTTGTGATGAGAGGTGAACTATGACCCTTTCCCAGAGGCTGGGGTCCAGCATGTGATTCAGGGGTGAGCAGCAGTACTGAGGCGGCCCACCCGCAAGGTTCTCCC